TTTACATCAATGTGTTCTCGCTTTGGTAGCCTGGTAGCCGTTCTCCATGCTGGTGGAGCTTTTGCAGGGGAAGCACACTCAATTTTTCATCCCTGTGTTGCCGCTGTTGTGAAGCTGGCTGCAGGTGGTCCGTGTACCGCCTCTGGGACATGGATGAGGATGCGATTTCTCTGTAAGTTTCGCCTGTGGAAGTCCGCCTGTTCGGCATCTTGACCTCTGTTTGTGCATGATTGTCCCTGCCGAGTAGGGTTTGCAAGATTCTGCCAGGACGGCGCAATCAGCCCGCCGGAGCTTGAATACAGCATGAAGAAGGCAAGCCGCGTAGCGAGGAACATTCTGGGGATTGTTGGAAGTCTGTGCTGCAAGGGTGGAGGCTTTTTGAGTCTGTGGCACACTCTGTGCCGCAAGGGTGTCGGCTTTCTCAGGGTGACACTAGCTTCAGCTTCCTGCGCGTCACACCTCGCGGATGTTTGCACTCCTTCTCGTGTGTTTGCGGCTGTTGGTTGGGCCATGCTCAAGCTGCAAGGCATTCCCGAGAATCAAGAGGGAGGAGCTGACAGTCTGACAGTATCTGACAGTGCTCGGATTTCAGGTCGTGGGCGTTTGGAAGCGGATTCAGGTTTCGGCGTGCTTTGATGGGGCGAAGCTGAAGAGCACAAATCCAAAGCACACTTACATCCCAGCAACTACTCTGGACTGCTCTTGGGCACTTCTCCACAAGTGTTTTTGTTTCTGAGGGGCGAGACACATGGATTTTTCTAATCATCCTATGTTAACAGTGAGTTGCCAGGTACCGCAGAGGTTGAAAGCGCACAGCTGGAGCATGAAAAACCGAGGTAAACAGACGCTGTAGAGACACACGCCAAAAGCACTCTGTAGCTTGTTTTGTTCATCCAAAGTCTTGTAGATTTGCCTTGTTTATGGAACACGGAGTTGCGCGCGAGCCATGCTCGTGACATCCCTTATGACCCCGCAAAAAGGGGGCTCAGGGGGAATTCGGAATCCACTTTTGATCCTGTCTGACCCCAAGTGGCGACCTGCAAGACAGGAGCTGTTGCTTCTCCTCAGCGCGATGGACGAGGAAGCTTGGCCTCGGCTGAGTGCTTTTTGGGGGGAGACAAGGCGACCATGAGAGGAAACTTAACATGGGTAGACAGCTGCGGCTAAGGACGGAAACGGTCGCCTCCCAAGTCTGCTTTGTGACTTTGGGGGAGCTGTAGGGCGTGGGCATGTGCATCCCGCGGAACGACCCATCCCAAATGTCAGGTGAAGTGGGATACTTGGAATTCGTGAATTTCATCTTTCCCCCCGAGCAGGCCCGCAGCGCCTTCAAGGGCAATCGCCTGCAGAACCCCTGAGCCTATCTGAGCCTAAGTCCGAAAGCGAACCCGCTACTCAGCCGCCACTCGCCCTCAGGCAGCTCCGTCAGCCCAAGTCAGTGCGAGCCGCAGCCTCGGCAGCCTTTGTCCAGAACAGCAGTTGTTCTCCGTTTTTCACATGTCCTGCATGAAGAACGCGCATGCTGCACGCCTGAATTGCATGGTTGCGATGCAGATGCATGTCGCAAGTTCTGTTGGGCAAAGGAGTCATGGGCGGCTGATGAGAGCACGTCTACGCTCAACTCCTACGCTCAACTTGCTCAACTGCTCGCTTGCTTTCGGAAGCATGCGGTCAGGCATCCCCAAAGTTTACTGGGTGTGTCACGTGTTCTTTTGGCATTGAAACGATTAAGTTGCCTCGTCTGAGCACAGTTCGACGACCATTGTTGTGGTCTGAAAGAACGCTCAATGATTTAGCATTGGGCTGTAGGGAACAAAGCTTGGAACTCCTGAGCCCTTGCGGCCCTTACAGCGCTGAGAAGGCTTGGTAAAGCGAGGTGTCCGTTGCACGGCAGGGCTTAATGAAATGGGCTAAGCCAGCAGGAGGGATCCTCTCTTTGCCGAGCCTTATGAGTAGATTGCCGCGAGACATGTGCCTGCCAAAGGCAGGTCTCCCCAATTTTCTGAGGGCAACTCGTTCGGAGCCGCGGTGCACCTGCATACGGCCTCACCTGATAGATTTGCGACTGTGCCAGTCGGCATCGATCTACGTAATGGTCCTCTACCAGAAACCTGGATCCGCCTGCATCGGCAAGCCTGCGCGGGTGCCGACGAGTGCAAGCTTGTCCCGCACTTTTTCCCAAGGTTCCATGGCGTTGCACGGCATAAGTGGGCATATGACAGTTTCAAGAAGATCGGTTACTGGGTTTTTAAGTTGCACACGTGAAGCCGTTTCAGGCATGCCTACACTCTGGTCCGGTGTGGTTGTTGTAGACAAACTCTCGGTGTTGAAACTTGCCTTCGACAACGCGCCCTTGTGTTGCTCATGCGAAAACAAGACTTAGATTCGGGGCCCTCCTAAAGGGGGGACCCTGAAGAGAAGAGTGAACACGCGTCGGAGATTGTCAGACGGTGCATTCGGGACGCCTTTCAAGAGCGGCAGATGTGGCTTGATATTCCATTGTATAAGGTTAGGAGGAGACTTGCTTCTGAGAGTCTAAGGCTACGACTTAATAAGCTTTGCCTCCCTGTCATCTTCACTTGCAACATCTTTCTATGCATAGTGAGGTATGTGCGATGCTGTTCCGCTGATCATGGGGGGCACGTGCCAAACTCTTGCATGAATCAACAGCCAGCAAACTTCAGGAATCAAGGGGTGGCTGCGAGGGAACATTTAGCGGGTTGGCTGAGACAATGCTCTTGAAGCAAAGATTGACTCAAACAAAAGGGTCAAGGCATCGGGCCTCATGCAGCTCTGCGCCCCGTCATTGCAAATCCCTGACGCCCCGATTGCAGCTTCGAGGGATCCCAGGCTCTGTGAGGGACCGTGAGTATACGATAGGAAGCCGGATGAACTTGACAGAGCCGAATCCGTGTCCCTGAGTTCCGCTTCCCAAATGTTTGCAGGGTAAATTTGCGGCCAACCAGAGGAATCTCAAAGTGAAGCCCAGCTGATGGTCGAAAGGGCGGGCATCGGCAAGGATCTCGCGCAGCGGGTTTCTTGAGTTGCCAGGGCACAGTGCTGGCACATAATCAGAGTGTCGCGTCGCGGCCATCAGCATAGAGCTCGGATTCGCTGGCACAAGAGTTGGGCCGTGTCGGGCCGAGTCCAGGCCTGAAGAGGCCCCAACAGGAAATCTGAGGTATATCTCCGTGACCTCCCCCAAAAACGTGATGAGCTGGTCTTGTGGGCTCTGGACTCTCCTCGAGGACTCATGGATGGCTGCCAAAGGAGGCAAAGTGCTCAGATTCGCCAGTGTGAAGGCCACTTGACCGGTTTTCTAGCGGGACGAAGCTCTCAATATCTCCCAGCCGGGTCCAATCTCATGGCGAAACATGGGCCCCAGAAGTGCAGCAGCTTCCACGTCTCACGCGCTGCGCTCACTGTGAGCCTGCGCACCTAGGCCGAGGTTCTCGTCATACCAGCATGTGCGAGGCAAGTTGGCAGAGAAAGGCTCCAGACAGACGACTTGCACCTTCATCCCACATACCGTCACATTGTCCCCACATCCCCACTTTCTCCATGCCGGTGGCCTCAGGCGGCGGCGGATCCAGCGGGCTCGAGGCGCGCTACGTGTTTGAGAGGAGTGGAGTTGCTGGCGATGACGTGGAAGGGGGCTTCTCCAACGTGTTGCACCACGGCATAGTTTCTGGCAGAGCCTGCATTTGGCTCGGCTTGCCGAGGCATTTGGCGAATCCATCCGAGACGCTTGCCTTGCCAAGAAATGCGCTTGGAATGCCCAACCGCAAAGCTCAGCAACACCTGTAGATGTAGATGTGAAAGGAGGGCTTATATGGGCAGTCTCCCCAAAAAATGAAGGAGGCAAGCGGAGCAAAGCAGAATCTTCCCCGAGGACCAGGCCTCGCAGCTTCTGGGCACCTCCAGCGACTGTCCCGCGCAGAGGTGCCCTCTGAGAAGGGTCGAAGCAGGCTTTGAGAGATTTGAGAGATTTGAGGAAGTAGGTGCAGGAAGAAGGTGGGCAAAAAGGGCAGGCAAAGCAGGTTCTCAAGGACTTTCTTCGGCAACGTCCAAAGGGCATGAAGGGCATTTGCACAACGCTCTTGCACCCCAGAAGGCTGCACCTCAGCCATCAGCTTTGGAGTCAAAAGCAGCTTAAACAACAGACCCAGGCGTGGACGAGTCTCTGGCGATCACAAGTGACATCTGGCTGGTTATTGCTGCCAGGGACTTTGTGTCGCGCTAGTTGGGAGAAGGACTCGAACCGGGCCATCCCAAAGCTCTCCCTCAAGCCTCCAGTCAGCCCATCAAACTCGTGGCTTCCGACGGCACAGCGTCTGTAGCAGCTTCGGGCCATGGCCATGGCCAGCTGCTGTTGGGCCGCAGCTGTATTGCTCAAGCTCAAGCAGCTTAGAGGACATGCCCCGTTCCATGAGCATCTTGAACAAATTTAACGCTCAAGACGCTCAAGACGCTCAAGACTTAATTCCCAGGCTTGAAGTTGTCTCTAAAGGCTCGAAAAGGCTTGAGAAGACATGTCAAACTCCAACGGACGATTTTGGCCATAGGGCATTTCGATCTCCACCACTGCATCTGCCGGCAAAGAGCGGAGCTATGGACGAGTGCCGGGGCGCAGATTGGCCTACGCGGTAGCGCGGTGTGTGGTGCTAGTAACCGAGCTACAGGGCTTGTCTCACAGCTTGCAGGTTAAAAGGCCCTCTGTGCTCAAGTCCAGGTTGCCCGGGAATCCCCCCCGTGCAAAGAAGTGACAAGAGCCCTTGTGACCCTTCTGTTCCAGGGTTGTCGGAGTAAGGAATGGCTCCGTCGAGCGACTCCAGGAAATCGTGCGAGCTGTGAAGGCCAGAAGCCGCCCAACTCAGCCTCAGCTCTCTGCTTCTCTGCCTCTCTGCCTTCTGTTCTTGCATTCCGATTTCTGAGCCTAGTGAGCCAGTAGTGTTCTGAACTCTTCATTCCCATGGCCAGGCAAAGGCTCCACTGGTCCAATGCCTCACGAACTTCGCATCTTGTCTGAGAAGGGATCGTTTTGGGATGTTTGGGTGGGGTTCTCCACTGTGCTTCTCTCATTCGCCTCACGCGAAAGGCGAGGTGCAGTAGGTGTAACCGGTCTCCATGCAAGGTCTCGATGGACTTCATGGCCAACGGCTTGCTGGCATTGGGAGCCTCGCCCGCCATGGTCCATGCCGTGGAGGAGCTCGAGCCGGCGCGCGGGGAAGGGGACAGAGTCAGAGAGAGTACAAGTGCACAGTGCATTACAGTGTATTACAGTGTATTACAGTGGCACTGTGTAGTACGGGAGAGCATCGGACGACTTTGGAAGACTTTGGTATCGTGGGATGAACTGGTCTTATCGTGGTGCAGCTGTAGATGCCCCGTCGCCTTCCTCCATTCTCCCGAAAGCCCTGAAACGTCAAACTCCTTGAAACTCCTTCCCGACGCGCGCACGAGCTCCCCTCTCAGGCAATTGCTGTGGTGGCAGCTATCCAGGGCGCAGTCTCCATCAACATCGGCACGCTCGATCCAGCTTGGAGCCACGGCTTCAAGTTTACGAAGCGGCCAAGATCTTGTTTGCATCAGCCAGCGCCAGCTTGCAACATGCCCAGTTCCACCCTTTCGCACCTTCCCTGTTCGGAACAGCCGAGGATAGAGTCCTTTAAATGTGCAGCCAGGCCTGCGTTGATCAAGTTCGTTTGTGCACCGACTGTGCAGCCCCTGTTTCTGCGATGTGAAATGTTGAGTTGCAGGACCTGCAAGGCAAAGGGCGTGCCTTGGGTGTTGGACCCCGTCGCAGCTGGGTTCACACCCCTCAGGCCGGGCGTGTGAGTTCCCGATGCAGAAGAGGCTGCCAGCCAGACGAAGATTGAGAGGTGTGAGTAGCTTAGTGGTACTTGGAGAAGCTGGTAGGGATGCCATTGTTGATAGCGCATGCAACTGGCACTCTCAAGAAGGCGGCTGCCAACAATGAGAGCCTGAGTTTGTGATGCACCTGCCGGCAAGTGCAGGACCACCACCGCGACGGAGCTCTTAGACATCGGAGGGTTCCTGTGCAGCATCGGGGGGAGTTGCAGAGTTGAGCGTTTAAGTGTACGATCTCCCAACGGCTTGTATATGTGAGTTTGAAGTCTGTGTCAGCGTGGGGCAGATTTTTCTAGGGTCCACTAGAACCAGGGCAGATGCTGGGGAAGCAGGTGCTCGGTGCTCCGTGGCAACGCCTCCGAGATCCTGGCGGTCGCTGGCGCCGCGGGGGACACCAAGGGCGTGGACTCCTCGCAAGGCCCCATGTCAAGCACAGGCCGAAACCATCTAAACGAGCCAGATGCCAGATTAGCAATTATTTTAAGGGGCTGCGCCCATGGGCGGGCAGCGCACGCAGAAGCCCGGGGCGAGCAGTTTCTAAGCATGTTGAGGCCCCTAAACTCCCTTAAAATCTCTAAGCGTTAAGTTTCTAAGCATTTTCAGGCCCCTAAACTCCCTTCAAATCTCTAAGCGTTTGAGGCTCCTAGACTCCCTTAACGTTTCTAAGCACTTTATAAGGCCCCTAAACTCTCTTTTTCCTAGCCCCGGGCTTAGACACGTCGCTTATGCCCGCCCTTTGGGGGGCATCATGCTCCTGATGCGCCCCCGGGGTCCCGCCCCGGGAGCCGCTGATGCTCCTGATGCGCGCCTGGCGGTCCCGGGCTGGACCCGCTGATGCTCATGATGCGCGCCCTCTGGGGGCCTCCGTGGCGACGCAAAAAACCACGAAAAAAAACCGTTCACCGGCGGCACGCGGGGGACGGCGGCACTGGCGTCCGGCCTAATTCTGCTTCGCAGAAGGCCAGAGGCCAGCAAGGCTATTCCCGGGACGACCCGGGCTAAAAGGTCCGCATTTGCTCGGTCCTTTGGGGACCTCGCGCTGCCCGATTTAAAGGCTGACGCCGCTGCCGCCAACCCCCAAGATAAGGACGTCCGGGCACCGGGCCCTCTTCCGGACCCACCCGCTTAACAACAAATTCGGTTGCTTTTCCTCCTTCTCCTTTGGGGGGCGGCTCGGCAGGGGGTAGGGGGGGGGGAGGGGGCGGGGTACGGGGTGAGGGTAGGGGGAGGGGACAACAAATTCGGGGGCTTTTGGTCCTTTTCTTGTGGGGGGGCTAGGCAGGGGTGGGGGGGGGGAGGGGGGGGGGTGGGGGGGGGGGGGGGGGGGGGGGGGGGGGGTAGGAGGGTGCAGCCAACACAACGCAGCCAACACAAAACGCGTGGTTCCCCCCCCACTTGGCCGCCTTCCAAAACAACAAAATCAATCGCTTTTGGTTTTTCTCTTGTGAAAAAGGGCTAGGCAGGCGGGTACGGGGGGGGGGGGGAGGGGGGGGAGGGGGGGGGGGAGGGGGGGGGGTGGGGGGAGGGGGGGGGGAGGGGGGGGGGGAGGGGGGGGAGGGGGGGGAGGGGGGGGGAGGGCGGGGGGGAGGGGGGGGGGGGCAGGGGCGGGTACGGTCGGGGGGAGGGGGGGGGGGGGCCAGTAGGGTGCAGCCAACACAATGGCCGCTTCAAAATCCTGGGGGGTGGGCTAGGCAGGGGGGGGGTAAGGGGAGGGGGGGGGGGTTGCAGCCTTCAACACACTTGGCCGCCTTCCAAAACAAACAAATTCGTTGGTGTGGTTTTCCTGTGCGGGGGATAGGCAGGGGGGGGCGGAGGGGGGGGGGGTACGGGGAGGGTAGTAGGGGGGAGGGGGGGGGGGGGGGGGGTAGTAGGGTGCAGCCAACACAAAACGCGGTTCCAGCCACTTGGCCGCCACAAATTCGGTTGCTTTTGGTCCTTCTCCGGGGACTAGGCAGGGGTAGGGTGCAGCCAACACAAAACGCGTGGTTTCTCCGCCGACCACGGTTGCTTTTGGGGGGGGGGGGGTACGGGGGGGGGGGAGGTAGGGGGGGGG